TACATCGTCGTTAAAGGGACTTGGTATAATATGCTAACGTAGTGACGTCAAAACTAGATGTATAATTAAAGATAATCCGAAAGTTTGAGTGAAAGATGACTATTTTTAACGATACAAATTGGGAAAAAATTTATCTGATCGATTGCTTAATTCTCTCAACTATATTACAATTTAATCACATTTAAGATGAACTTAATTTTTCACAAATCAATGAATTGGCTGTATATATTATTCCGGAAATTTTAGTGTTGAACGATTTTTTAAAAGCCTTATGTTTTAATTTCATCGTGAGAACAGTAGAAGGCAAATAATAAGTAACATTTCATGCAAAATTGACGCAGTTTTTTTAAATCAACCTTCAACAATGTTTGTTACCGAGTCATCTTAATCGAAATAATATTAAATTTATGGGTCACATATTGCTTGTTTTAAGCCCCACCGCACTACTTATAGCTACGTGCGCCCTTTATACAGTGCCCCCCCCCCAAAAAAAAGCGAAACCGAGAATTATCGATGTTTTATCACAACTTAATTACAAATATAATTAATAAATGACACATAATTATCAAGCTTAGATCCACCTCTTTCATCTGATGTAACTCATATGATGCATATTCCACGCATGAGTGATTAACAACAATTGGAAGAGAGGAAATCAAAAAGTCATTTGGCGGGCGGTATCTAGGTCAGACCCAGCGGCGACCTGGCGGCGACCGCTCGGCAGCCTTTAACCTAGCGGCTTCGATTTTTGACCTAAATCGCTCGACGGCGAACGCTCGATTAGGTCTGTGCCCGAGGGTCGACCGCCCGGGCACGGAGCTTATTTTTGGCGGCGAGTAAAAAGTGAGTAGGCGTCGCCGAATTTTAACTCCGCGCTAAAACTTCGGTGTCGACCGAACCATGCCCTAAAAACATGCGGTGCCCGGGCGGCCCCCGCTCGGTGCCCGGGAGAAATTGGCTAGAAACTCGACGTTATTTGCATAAATTACCATAAATATGCAAATGAGGGATTTTTTTCAAAAAATTGAAATTATCATATTGTTCTATACACTTCACTTGACATGCGTGCAAATTTTCGCGGAGATCGGCCGTTTCACGGCCGAGATCTTAGGGGGGGGGGGGCCATAATGCCCCCCCCCCCGGCCGTAGTAAGATTTCAAATAGCCCGGCCTTATTAGGATTAATGTGCAATTAAAACACAGTTGGTGCGTGAAATTAGACAGATAATTAAATGAATTAAAGCATGTTATCAGAGTAGGGGAAGGGTCCTAACTTACAGAAAAAAACATTTAAGATAGTGTCTAAGGGGGTGAGTACCTTTTCAGCTTTGGTCCATGCACTAATACTGCTAATTTGTTGGAATTGCCATAAACGGTACGTCTACAGTGTGTTTCCACTCAAAATGTGCATCCTGTAAATTTATTGTCTGTGTGTGGCATAAACATATACTTATTATAATATAATAATTATATGTCGGTTGCCCGGCAAAACGTCGCGTAGAGCTAAACTACCTTTTGCCGGAAGTTAAATTGTTAAAACTTCAAAAGCGTTTTTCTCGGTTCCCCCTTTTTTTTACCAGCGCCAACGCTACGCGACCTTTTACCGAGCAACCGACATATTATGTTTAATCAAGCAATACTGTTTCAATAGACAGGTCTATGGTGTGTAAACAACTTTGATACAATATATTTATATAACCCCATATTCTGAGTTAATCACACTTTTATGTTTCATTGCGACATACACATGTGCGTAATATCCAAAATTCAAATGTACATTTAAAATACGCATTACTTAAAAAATAATAAACATTATGTCAAATTAAAGTTCTGTCTCAGATAATACATGATTGGTAAAGAAATTTGTAATTGAAGTTTTGCATCCTTTCATATTTTGAGCCAAATTGACATTTTTAGTGAAAAATGCGCGTGGCATTTACCCGTATCTTAGTCTTTAGTATTTTATCTCCTTCCTCTTTCCCCTACCATCTCCCACTCTCTCTCTCTCTCTCTATCTCTCTCTCTCCTCTTTCACCTTCCTCTCTTTCCCTCCATCTCCCTTCTCATCTCCTCTCTACCGCCCTCTCTGTCACTCTATCCCTCATTTCATTGTCTTTCTTCGTCTCTCCCTCAACCTTCCCCTCAATCCCATCACTCTCTCTCTCTCTGTCACTGTCTCTGTCTCTCTCTCTCTCTATCTCTCCATCTACCTCCCCTCTCTCTCTATCTCTCCATCTACCTCCCCTCTCTCTCTGTCTCTACATCTACCCCATCTCACTCTCTCTCTCTCGCCCTCAATCTCTTTCTCTCAGACGATGTTTACATCAGCATCTCAGCGTCTCTACCTTGCCACCAAGCAGCAGGTCTACTGGAGCCACATCAAGATCCTGGTCCCAAACACATGGTCCATCCAGAGCCAATACCAGCAAGCTATGACCGAAACCTCACAGTCTGCAAACATTCTCGTGCATAGCCATACAGATGACGAACCGTATGTCGATAACTTCGAAGGATGTGGGATCGAAGGAACTCTGATGCACTTGACACCGGCCTATATTCTAAATGTGCAGTACCGGGTAGACAAGTTTGGCAACACAAGTAGGCGTCTTTCATGAAACTGCATTTTGTATTAAAATTAGAATGGCATGTGCGTATAGGCCTACAACTGGCTGAAGGCAGCATTGCCATAAAGCTCCGTTTAGTCTCATTTGACAACGCCCCCTATCGTCAGAGTCAGCAGCCTAACATGTTAGCCTATGGAATTTTACCCCCCCCCCCAAATCGTTAATTTTGTTTTGTTTTAAACGATAAGCACATCCACCCCGAAGTATGTATCACTAGCTCTTTCATTGGAACCCTCATGTCCCATTGACTTTCGAAAGTTCACCCACCGTAATTTGATCAAAATAGGTTGCAAGATCGCCATTGCCTATATAACACATGTGAAATAAGTCGAACTTTGGACTTAGTTTGCCAAGCGATTGTGAGGTTTTAGGTCAAGCACACAAAGGTTAAGAAGCATGAATTATAACAGTTTTGATCGGTTCATTATGTCCATTTCATCCAACCCCCACCGTAATTTGTCCATTGAAGATGAGCAAACAGTTTGCCGAGGTAAGCAAAAACATGAATATTCATGATCGCCATGGACTATTCGATTATTTACAGAGGGGTGCAATTGTGCACCACCCCGTGCACCACATCCAACTCCCCTACTTTAAGTCAAGTATTTCATTGTATTATGTAGTTTGGTAGGTTTATTTTTATAACTGTTTAATTATCAGATATCAATGATAATTTAAAGATATGGAAAATGTTCTTGTATTTTATATTTAGCAAAGCAATCTCACATACAAATTCACTACCAAGTGTCGTCAAATCCGCCGATTGTCGTCTGCTATAAACGTCCAGCGAGCGAAAATGAGACAACCGGAACAATATGCACATTTGTGAAGAATTGACAGAATCATATTGGCGGTTGGCAGACAGTATATAACAGTATGACAGGACTCTTTAAAAACCAAATTGACTTAGAATGACCAGAGTAAATTAAATTATTGACGGTTGCACACAACACAGTACGCCTACAACTGCGCTTGCTAAATCATTTTTTGAATACTATATTTGGTATCATTACTAACCAAAATCACCACAATTCTGTCCATCGTCATCATCATCCTATTATGTAGATGAAAATATGAATTAAATTTGTTGCGTGCGACATATAATGTATAAGTCATTTTTCTGGTTGATTCCTTACACCGCCCCCGCCCCGTCCACAAATGCCCTCACACGCATATTATAACAAGTTGGATACGCTACTGCTTTGAGCTATCTCTTGAGTTTTCGCCGTAGGCATACATGTCGAAACGTTTTTTATTTCATCTTCATGTCGATAGATAGCGTCTTAGTCCGAACCTGGGGGTATTACCGCTGGGGATTGTTCAAAGAACACTATGACGGCGACGAAGACACTGCTCCTGCCTACGACTCGCCCGGTGTTGGCACAGAAGGAACCCGCTGCTCTCTCAAGATCGAGGGAAATCTTGTACTGTCTGGTAGAAACAGTTGTCCGAGTGATCACAATGGTTACCATCCCGACTGCCGCTTCGTTCCTGACACTGGAGGACAGACGGCTACAGCTTCACTGCTGTTTGGAACCAGAGATGCTCACATTCATTCGGTAAATTCTGTCCTTTAGTCCATGATGAATTATAATTATGTCCTAAAATTCAAATGAACATAACACTGTCATAAGGTAAGGTCTAAGGTATTTGATTATTTGCTGCCCCATATATACTTTTCCAAAATAAAACCAAACAGAGTTAGTATATCACGAGTGTTTTCTTTTTCTTTGTTTTGTGATCGTATCCAAGCTCGTCAGTGGAATCGTCAGTGTAGTAATACTTAAGGTGATGCTGGTTTAATACGTATGGGTAAAATACACCGCGCTTGCCCATTGGCGTGATAGTCGAATGGAGTTTCAAAGAGTAAATACGAAATAGATCTTCTTTTTTTAAAACTTCAAATACATCGAGCAACATTTATCAAACTCATACAGAAAAAAATTCATTCGTTCAATGGTAAATCCAAATCTAAGTTTAGTTAAGCTTCTAGCAACTTTAAATTAAGAAGACAAACCGTCATCTACTCCTGTGAACTTTCACAAGACAGGTACATTCTCTCACATAGTCCCTTACTGGCTGCTGCGTCATGATTACGTGAGCAAAGATAGATGACAGTGAATAGCCAGAATGATCTGTTTCGTCTCTATTTAATCCAAGTGGATTATTTCACCTTTCTTGACCAGAAATATGATTAAATTCAATGACATGGGTACTATCCCATTCAACATTTCCAACTCTCTAATGTCTATCGTTACTCGTATTACAGATAGAGGAGTTCTGTGGCGACGATGCATCAGACCTAGATAGCCTACACAACCCCCTAGCACCAAACATCATGAATAGTAAATGCGGTGGAGACAGTGCGTGGAAGGTCATGAAGGAACGGACAACAGACTTCCAGGCGGATGTCCCACTGGTTCCTGACCCCACTCCTGTATTTGAGGTCCTCCAGCTCTCGTCAGTCAGAAGTGTAGTACTTGTTCTCGACATCAGTGGTAGTATGAAAGTAAGTCTGTGTTCTCTCTTTCTCCCCCTCTCTCTATCTCTCTCTATTTTCCTCACTCCCTCTCTCTCCCCATTCTCTCAATAATTGTGTGGTCTAGTGAATATGTCATTGGTTTAGGATGAGAACATGGCTTAACAGAGAGATTCTGCGCTGTCAATTTTTCGTGATTAATACATGTGCATGTTTGATTTCATTGAACATTGTTATCAATATAAATAGCCCTTTACTTCATTCGAATACAGTTTGATCAATAATTAGTACTATATCAAACATAGTTATCTAAGTGTTCTTCAATCCTCATTGTGTTGTGACCAAAGCATACCACATGTCTTCACTACATATTTTGGGATGTACTAAAATAGGGTCGGTGTCTACTTTGCGGGACCATAAACACGTATGATGGAACAAAAAAGACAAAGAAATAGATGATTATTCCACACTTATATATCGTAACATATGACGCCCCGTTGAACCTGAAGTATTCAAGTTTGAAAATTAAATCGTTATAGCATCACTGAAAGTGGACGATTAAAATCCTAAGGGCCTACTTACGCTCATACAAAAAGTCTATTTGTCAGAACCATAATGACATCACATGCTTTTTGTTTTCAGGGGAACCGATTTGAACGAATGATCCAGTCAGCTACTGATTGCATCATGAACGTAATTCCCTTAGACAGCAAGCTCGGAATCGTAGTCTTCGAAACTACATCGCAAATCCGGGCAGGTCTGACGAATATTACCGATACTGCTTCGCGTCAGAGACTCGTCGATGCTTTACCGCCATCACCGGGGGGTAGCACTTGTATCGGATGCGGAATATCGTCAGGCATTGAGGTACGATCGGAAAGGTCTAGCTAATATTCTACCCGTTGCACACGTGGCGTGATTTGCCTGACGCAGGACTGCGACAGCGATTGGCTCGGTATCTGATGCGCCATGTCAGAGTTACATCGAACAGTGTGTACATCGCGTTGCGTTACATGCGTAGGGGCTATATCCCCTCACGCTATTTATTAGCACAAGTAATAACGCATCACGAATGACCGCTCGTGTGCAACGAGTTTACTTTGACCAATAACCCACCCCGTAATAACTACGCTATATAATTGTTTTACCTCGTCAAAATATATAATAATTTATCCAACAGTTCTCCAAGAGCAAGCAAGAGGGAAATCACACAGTCAATAAAGTTATTCAAAGACATCACTCTTTTTTCATTAACTTGGTTTTATGCCATGCATAGTCTTAAGAATGTACTATGAATAACTTGTGACGAAATGTTTACTGTGTATTTCTAGGTACTAGGTTCATTCGCACAAGGTGGATACATCTTACTCCTCAGTGATGGCGGAGAGAATAGAGCTCCATACATCAGAGACAAGTATGACGACATTGAGAACTCAGGGGTCATAATTGACACTATCACTATAAGCAACGCAGCTGATCAACAAATGGAAGATCTTTCCACAAACACTTCTGGCATATCAAGCTTCTGTTCGGATACTGGGACAGGGATTTGTCTAATGGAGGCGTTCCACAGTACCATAACAGAGAGACCTGACGTTGGCATGCAAACGGTTCCTACACAGGTTTGTCATCTCTTTAATTCGAATTGCCACCCTATGTTTGCGAGTCAGTACGTTGTAGGCAAAAGGGTTATGGTTTCTCAGCTTTATACTAAACCATTGGGGACCTTTGAATGAGAGATAAATGGGAAAGGAGCGTGATTAGAATTCTGCAGGGTTTCGAAATAGGTCATATTCTTTTTTTTTGTTATCCACATAAATAACCTGTATACAGACTTATCCAAACATCAGATAGTTTGCAGATGACTCAACTGTATTTCATATCGTTTCCTGCTAGCAAATTTCATTTAGATTTATTTCAAATAACTGCGAAATTCATAGAAAAGGAATTCTCCATACTTATTATGCATTGATGATTTCCTTTCAAAAGCTCATTGCTAATAGCTTTCGTATTTCAGATGGGGACGTTAAAGGTCGGTCCCCACACATAAATAATCATATCTGATTGACACACATCTTTAAAAACCCAATTACACACACACACACACGCTCATGACACTTAGTTTTCTAGCTCATCATTTGAAGATATCAAATGATTAAATCTTGTTTTGGAAATTTCATTCAGATCTACAGTTCGGAGGTTATTATCGAACCCGATCCTGGATTCTACAATATTCCGGTGGTCATTGACGCCGCTCTGGGCAACGAAACGGTGATCGTGGTGACCTGGAAGAAGAGTCAATCGATATCAGTCGTAGTTACTGGGCCAGACGGTACTCGAGTTGACCATAACGATCCTCGCTATCTGAATGATACGATCAAACAGATTGTGACGATCAACTTACCTCTGGCGCAGGTGAAGCCTCTAAAACTCATTGTCTTGTTAGAGGAAACAGTACCTTTACCATCTCCCTCAACGTTTAACAACGTTAAATCTAAGATGCACGGCCCTACGTGTTATCAGTATCTGTAATATTGTATAATATTGAAGCCCCCCCCCCCAAAAAAAAAAAAGAAGAAAAGAAATCACACTTCAAAATCATCAAGAAGTGCCTCAAAGAAGTAAAAATCTTTGAGTGACCGGTTTTACCATACTCGTTTGCCCCAATAGACGGTAGAGTCATGAAAACCGTTTGGCAAACGCTAAATTTGGTTTCGATTTTCAATCATAAATATCTTAATAATCAGACAGGCGATGGGCTTGTAAAAGTCATGGGATTCCAGACTGACCTAAAGGTTTATTATTTTCATTGCAGCATGAGCTAAATCCAGGATTTTGGTACAGAATCTGAGACAAAGTTACCGGATCCCTTTAAATAGATTATAAAGATTAATGGTATCTCTTCAGCGATTTGGGAAACCCTCAACTGAATTTAGATTGTTAACAATGTTTCCTAAGATGTGTAGGAAACAGGTATTCCAAAGTTCCAAGCCAAGAAAGAGTTGAGTTTAGTAAATTTTGTTTAATGTTTTTGCTTTAATATCGTTGTCTTCCTTATCCACTTGGTATAACTTAACCTTGTGTAAATCTGTCGTATGCACAAGAATGACTCTTTCTTCAAAATAATATCTGCCTTTCTATTCGTTTACCTTGCTGCTCACAAAATTGCAACATTAGAGGGGTCAGGTCATTTCCATTGATTAAAAATAAATATCGCTTTTTCATAATAAAATGTACAAAATTATTGAGTGATCGAAATATCTGTTCTAATTTAATACCTGTTAAAGGGCAAGTCCACTTTAAAACTAACTTACTTTCCATAGTAGCAAAACAAATCAGTAGCAAGCAAAGTCGGATAACTCATAAGAAGGTTATGAATTTGTAATGACATGAAACACTTTGAAAATCACAAGACAAATTGGCAACTCTGGGACGTCAGTACCTCACTATCTACTAATTGTTTTCTTAATATTGATAATATAAATATCCAATATTCCCCTAAAAATCTTGTTTTCTTGCATCAGCATCCAAGTTATATTGATAGTAATATGTTTTTCTGTGTGAATGCACTAATATAGAGTAATGATTTTTTAAAGTTAGATCATTAAAAATGTGAATGTTGATAAACTAGTTATATCAGGCGCGTACGCAGGATTTTTTCAAGGGGGGGGTTTTAACATTTATAAATCGGTCCGAAAATTTCGCAACGACTCAGCCAGCCGCTGAATAAGCGGGGGGGGGGGGGGGGGGGGGGGGGTAAGAGGACACATTTTTTTTTTTTTTTTGGTCCCAAAAAATCGCAACGACTCAGCCGACCGCTGAATAAGCGGGGGGGGGGGGGGGGGGGGGGGGGGGGGGGGGGGGGGGGGGGGGGGGGGGGTAAGAGGACACTTTTTTTTTTTTTTTTTGGTCTCGAAATTTGGAAATTTGACATTTTGCTCCGTTGGGGGGGGGGTAAGGTCACCTTTTTTAGGTCGGCCATGGGAATAATTTTTTTTTTTTTTTTTTTTTAATAATTAAAAAAAAAAAAAAAAAAAAAAAAAAAAAAAAAAAATCCAAAAGGGGGGGGGGGGTTTTAGGTTTTTTTTAGGGGGGTTTACACACAAAAAATTTCCAAAGGGGGGGGGTTTAACCCCCCAAACCCCCCCCCCTGCGTACGCGCCTGAGTTATATTAAAATCAATGATTATGAATACAAAATATTCAGAAATTTGTTTTAATTCTTCAAAGTTGATAAAGGATTTTGTGAAACGTCATGCACGCAATATGATACAAATCATATAACTCGGGAAAAGCCACAAAAGGAAATCAAGTTTTGGGGGATAAAAGGGGAAATTATTGGGATATAAATACACAAAGCAATTGATAAATAATGAGGCAATGACGTCTTTGTTTTCTCTTGTTTTTCTGCATCTATTTAAAGCAAATAATGTTTGGAGTGGACTTAGCCTTTATTACGCGTGAACGGAGACGTGCTGTGATCTAATGACAAATGGGGTGCAAGTCTATTGACATAGCACTAACTTGAACAAACAAATTATTGTAAATTTGCCACATTCAACCCAGAACACAGATGTACTTAAAACATTTCTAGGCCTGCGATATGCGTTAAAGCAGAAATAAATATTGTCATTATTATCGTCATTTCTATTAGTATTTGTATTTGTATCATTCTTAATATTACTAGATTTATTATTATTGTCATTATTATCATTATTCTCATCGTTAATTATTATTGTCATGATGATTATTATTGTTATTATTATTATTATTATTGTCATTATTATTATTGTCATTATTAATACTATTGTAATTATTATTATTATCATTGTCATATTATTGTCATTATTACTATAATTGTCCTTATTATTATTATTGTTTACAAAAAGGCTGGTTTTTGGAATATAACGATCAACGACATACAGCAAGACGTCGTGGAGTATGCTAGTGTTTCAGTAACCTCTAAACCATCTACGCAGGAAAACACGCCAGTCTCAGTGACTGTGTTTTTAGGATCTCGTGTAAGTATAATATTGCTTTATTTCTTATATCTATCTATTTTTATGGTTAATTACTATACTATACTATACAAAACAGTCATAGGTATTATTATTTTGGATGTTGCTAACCTCTTCTAACTTAGAGGGTAAGATGTGGTATAGCTAAAAGAGACGAAAAAAAAAACCTTCATGTGATGGTATCAACAAACATATAATATCAATACTACAATATGATAATGTACTATGGTTTAATGAGGGTCTAATTGACTAACACTAACAGGCAGAAAAAAACTTCGCTCTTCTGTTTTCAGATATATTAATTTGGTATTCACATGTCTCTTTCCAATATACAGATGGTCTGCTTTATATTCATAGCATGACTGATAACTGAATATAATACCACGTTTACTGTTAACCATGATTGCTCGTTTGTTTTCTTCTGTACTTTGTATTTTTTTTAAGGATGTGGATTTTGCCCAGAATCCAGCACTAGCTATATATGCTCAGGCTCAACAGGATTATCTGCCTGTTCTCAATGCTGACGTCACAGCAATCATTTCGGATTCATCTAACACGACCTCGATGACATTGCTCGACAACGGGTCAGGTGAGCCAATAGCGAGCTTTCGATTTCACGTGACGTCATGCACTTGAGGCATATGCGCATATGTCACCTGGGCCGCCACGGTAGCGAAAAGGCGTTATCTGGATATCATGCCTTTGTATACATGTATACAATCACAAATGGTGATTGATATATTTGCATTAGTTTTGTCTTAGTTCAACCTTGAGACTTATTCTAAGTTGCTCGTTGAATAAAGGTCATTTAAAATTGAAAAGTGTTTACACAAAACGCTTATGGAACTCGTACCAGAAAGTCATTCGATTTGAAATGGGAAATGCCTAATTATTTACAGCATATCGAACATTTTTGCTATCCGAATCAGGGGAAAATGCAACAATTTAACGGGTCAAATAAAAAAGAAATTGGTATATATGTGTTATTCTTCCAAATGAATGCAAAACTATTGGATAAAAAAAGTGCGAAGCCTCCCCGGTTATGGTCTTTAGTAATATAGCAAACAAGGCCCGAATTCACAAAGGAGGTTTGTCGACAAACCTTGGTTTTCGTTCGTCATATGACGCGTTCTTACGCGTCTTTTTACAAACCTGGTTTGTAAAGAACAAAAGGAGGTTTGGCGAAACAAAAGGAGGTTTGTCGACAAACCTTGGTCTGTCGAAAAACCTCCTTTGTGAATTCGTACTCTCTTCTCTTTGCATTCATCAGGGTCTGACTTATTCAAAGATGACGGGACATATTCAGGGTATTTCCTAGGCTTCACTTCTGATGGCAGATATAACGTCAAGGTCAATGTCATCGGCTATGATGGCGCAGCAAAGCGGAGAGGTTAGTAAAAATTATTTAGTTGAACTTTTCTTACGGTGCATATACTGCTGGCTTATTGTGCGGAAAGTTTATCTGGAGTTGGTACTTGCCTAAGAAATCCACTTTTTCCCTTGAAATATTTTAATCTATTTTCAATTTTACAGTACTAATTATACAGAAATTATAGCATACTGTATGTATACAAGGGATCTTGGAAGGCCTAGCCCGAGTGGAAAACGCTGAATTAATGAAAGGATGTTGAATCCCATATAGGACGTTCATGGTTCGATCCTTGCTCGGTGCCTATACATCATTGGACAAAGTGTTTTGTCCATCTCTACTTGGGTGTAAAATGCATACCTTGCAATATTGCGGTAATATTATTTGCAGCACCTTCATGAAAAGCGGCATCCATAATGATGAGGAAACTGTAAGTACATATGACCGAATTATTATTACCATTATTTCATCCCATACAAAATGTTGAGATATATTGACTGATCCAATTGGGAGAAATGTCATGACAATTTTCACACAGTTTACCATCATTTGTTTGCATCCAGGAAAAAGGTCAGCTGAAGTGGAGACCACAGCAGAGCCCTCTTTCATGCGTACAGAATCGGGGGGAGTCTTTAAGGTCCAAGGCTACACTCCCAACGCAACTGATATTCTACCACCTTCCCGTATCCAGGACCTAGTCTATACCTCTTTCTCCTATGACAACAGCACGGTGACCCTCAGGTGGACTGCTGTAGGAGACGACTTGGACCAAGGAACGGGTAAAACATATTTCATGTTTATGGAGTCTTTACAGAGACTTTGGCAGATATGGCGCCCACGAGGAGGGGGGGGGGGGGGGGTCAAGTGGGCAAAGTGTCCCTTTTACTTCAACAAGTGAACTTTTCCCTTTGTTATTAGTGCCACTTTCCCCTTTATATTAGTGCCCCTCTTCATCTCTGATAAGTGCACCTTTTCCTTTCTTATAAGTGCCAATTTCCCTTGTAAAAAGTACCCGTATCCAAATCCGATAGGTGCCTCCTCTTACTTTTGATAAGTTTATTTTTCGTTTCTTAAACTGTCTTTTTATTGTCTAATTTTCGCCTATAAACTGTGCCTCTTTGAAGTCATATAGCCATACAGAGTCATAATCTAGTTTCAAAGAATAGGAGAAGCTTTGTTAACTACCAAGTACCTTTTTCCTACCACGTGACCACGAGTAAAGGCAGTAGCCGGGGGGGGGGGGGGGGCAGGGGGCTCAATTACCCTTATTTCATAAGAACGAATGTGTCCCTTTTACAATATTCATGCTCGTTTTCGACGCTCTCAAATGTCCCTTTAATATAAAAGTCATTATGTGTGACCTTTTAACAACATTTGGTCAATTCAAATGCTAAAAGAGGCATCTTCCAATTTTTCATGTTACAAACCCCATGCCCTTTTCAACTTTATAGAATACCAAGCTAATCAATTGCTATGTGTACAAGGTACAAGTAATGAAGGAGTTTTAAACTCAGGCAACCTGATTTACATTAACAGATATCATTCATATTAAAAAGGGACAATCACGATAATTATCATACGTTATATGATAAGGTGGGTTCAATAACCTCTTATCTATCCTGAAACGACTGATTTTTTGTAGCCTCCTTTAATTTGTGCTCCTAATTTTAATTCGTTCTTTCAATTTGAAATTGTAATTAAAATCTCATTAGGATCAGGATCTAATCTCTCAAATCTAAACTTGCAAGTGAACATTCAGACAATTACACACAACTGCAAGTACGGTGCTGAAGCAAAATTTTGGATCACGTAAAGAGAAAATGTTGAAGAACATCAATGATAATGTACATATCTTTAATAATTACAATGTAGGGGTTATACAATTGTCTAAAAAGTGTATTATTTTTGCTTTGAAGTTATCTTTTGCAGGATCCCCCATTGGCAGGAACGTGCCCTTTAGGTGAGGGGGGGGGGGGGTGGGTTGTGGGTTGGGCACCTCCACTTTGAAAGACGCCGATCATAGACTTTGGGAAAGGGCAGCTGAGGAAAAACGGGAAACATGCCATGTATCATGAAAACACGAAAACAATAAAGTGATATGGTAACGAAAAAGTTTGTAAATGACTATGAAGAATTTTTCCAGTTAAACTGCGAACCTCACAGTGAACACACCTTTAGATATTTAATGTGCAATAGAGTTAGGCATGTCGATAATATCTTGCTACTGTTTCAATTTCCACCTCAAAGCCTACAATTACGAACTCCGCTATGCTACCAACTACTTTGAGGTCCGAAACAACTTCAGCACCAGTCATGAGGTCACACAGGATCAACTAGTTTACGGGAACTTAATCTATATTAGTCCAGCAGGGGTTATTGAGACCGTCACTATTTCTCTCCCTGAGAGGGGGAAAGATATCGTCTACTATTTCGCAATTCGGGCTTGGGACGAGGCAGGGAACGGAGGGGACTTGTCCAACATCGCTTCCCTGTCGATCCGCTACATACCAGCGTCTGTACCCACCATCGAACCAACTGGGCCAGACAACCAAGCCCTGATCATCATCGGTGTGTGTTGTGCAGTTGGTGTGGTATTCATAGTTGGAGTTGTCATGACGTACATATGCTACCGGAAGAGAAATGTCGCACGTGCCCAGGAAGGGCTTCCAGAGGCGGAGGCTGCGCACAAGAATCCAACCTATGATAACCCTACTTTCTCTCTTAATTGATTTATTCTCTAAATTCACTCTGTAGTGGAAATCCAATTTGAGGGAGCCATAAAGGGATCACTACTTCATTGCAGGTGACATTCGCACTCAAAAGAAAGTGAAATCCATTAAATTTCATTTGATTTTATTAATTTGTCCCATATACGTTTGACGTGGATATTTGTTAAGCCCACATTCATGTATAAATAACAGGCTCAGAAAAAAAGTATACAAAAGTAGAAAATAGGATAAAGCATTGACACATCTTGTTGATGACAAGAATATATGTAATATTAATCCCCCCGTTTGGTTAACTTGTTTCGTTTCACTGAACATGTTAGACTATGTCATATCATTTAGCTGTTTAAATATATATATATATATATCTTTGTATAATAGGATAACGCTTAGGCACATCTTTATCCGATATATATATATATATATATATACATAAACATTAATACCATTAGGCCATGGACATATAAAAGGCAGCTCTTTACTATCTCTAAAACGTGTTCCCCTTATTAAGGTAATAATAATTCATTATCTAGCACGATATTTTCACCCTTACTAAAAACCAACCATCAAATTTTAAGGTTTAAGAATTCAGTTCTGGAAAGAATCCAAGAAAAAAGTGTATATATTCATTTGTTGTTTGTTTGCTGTTTGTTGCTTCGTTTTGTTTGGAAAGGTAGAGGGCTATGTCATCGTCGAGACTCTCTTGGATTTCATTACTCAGATAGTATAGTCATAAAAAACACCAGCACTGTAAATACTCAGTATTGCTTTGTTTCTTTCATATACATAATTTACCACGGTTTCCTTTGTATGATTTTTTTCTTCTGTTTTTATGCCTTTTGGGGTTCTTTCCAAATTGTACTATATTACGTTCATTTTTTAGTTTACTGTAAATATTCAGTGATAAGCTCATGTTTTTTTTTTCAGACGATATAAATATATATAACTTTTCACTGAATTGTAAAATACGCTTTTAAAGACTAGAATTACTTTTTGTTTAACAATTAAGTATCACTTGTTATACATACAGTGTGAGTCAAAAAAAAGTTTACACCTAGAAAATTGCTAATTATTTTTAGAATCATCTATGAACAGTAAATTATTATATATCTTATGAACGAGTGTTTTATCCCAAATCATTTGGTACCATTTTGTGCGGTATGTGATCACGCTTGGAAGAGCAGGAGGCATTGTTTGCGAGAGGTCAAAAATCGAATTGCGCCAAAGTTGCTTAGGTAATATTTGAATAAAACAATTGGGATTTGGGTATTAGTTCGGTCTTTGCAGATCCAAATAACATCCCTAACAAAATTAATCATGCTACACATATCAAATATCGAATATCAAATATCAACAAACATTTGTGCGCATGTGTATGGGTGCGTGTAACTTTGCCCTTTGCAAAATGCATTTCATTTGATACAATCATTCATTCTCTCACTCCGCTAATCCCAACATAATACATACTGTAGGCATCACTTTGGCGCAAGTCGATTTTTGCACTCTTGCAAACAATGCCTCCTGTTCATCCAAGCGTGAACATATACTACACAAAAATGGTACCAAATGATTTGGGATAAAACACTCTTTCATAAGATGTATAATAATTCACTGTTCATAGATGATATAAAAATAATTAGCAATTTTCTAGGTGTAAACTTTTTTTTGACTCACACGGTATATATACGTTTCTGTGTTCACATATACCCGGAAAAACCAAGAAAACTGTAATCGGTTCTGTTGCTGTTGTTTTTATTGCTGTTTTAATAATAATGGATATAATCAGAGACTTATCCATGAAAGTCAGAACGAAAGACCTGAAATTTAATTTAAGGTTCTTTTATTCTATTTTATGGATATTAAAACTTAAATGACAAAGAGAAATGAAATGAGACTTGTGATTTTAAGGAATTGGTAAATTTGAACACGAGGGATTGATCGAGGGTTTGACCATTGGGAAATGTGGAAGGTTGGTGAGTATTGTGTATGAATAAAGTGAGTGAGGGTGTTGGTGCGTGTGTATGTATGTGTGTATGAATAAACAAATTCTCTCCCTCTTGTCCATTTAAACATTCACCTAGTATTTCATTTTCTCTATTTCACGATAGTTTCTCTTATTCTTTCATCTGACTATCGCTTCCTTTTACATTTAATCCACTATTTTTGTCATATTCCCTGGCTAAATCTTTCTTTACACTCGATAACCACTTTGTGAAGATTTGTTAAAATAGACCTATGCTCTTGTGGCAAAAGGGTTTATGGACAAATGTTTTTTCATTTTTTCTCACTTATAGTTTGAAAAATTATATTTAAGATTACCTAAATTCAGTCAGGCTAATTATCACATCATTATGAAAGGCTGCCACCACCAATGCTGCAATATTACATAAAGACCAACATATTATCCTTCTTCACATTTTATATATGACGTGTATAAATATGCAAATACAATGGAATATTTCCTATATTCATTGTATTGTTTAACATTATTATAAGGAACTGGCGTTTCATAGATATATGGGACGTGGTTGCTAGTTATGGCCCAAGCAAATGATGGGAACGATTGCCAAATGAATTTATAGCCTCACTAGCTTTAGTTTGGCGAGAACCAAAAGGTTGCTAGCTCTAAGGCACAAAACAAAAGTGGCTTGCCAACTCTTAGAAAGAATCAATTTCCACACGAAATACATCGAAAGAAGATGAAAATTATATAGTAATATAAAAAAAAAAGAAGATATTTAGCGCAACTCACATATTCAATGACTCATATGCGCTTCCAAAGATCTATAGATTATTACCCCGGATCTATCCTAGGTGCATTGATAAAGGGATGAAACATTCAAGGGTTTAAACTTAAATGACTACATGTAGCCACTTATTTCACTTGGGTTGGGTATCGCAAATGTAGATAAATGTCCTGTGCTGTGGTAAAAAGCAATGTATGAAATACATTTGTTAAAAGTTGTAAAGCCATAGAGATTTATTTTCAGGAAAAATTCTGATTTGTAAAATTGTATTCCTTTCGATAAAGACTTTCTTCAATAATGGAAAAGAAAATAATTTTTGTTTGGTTCAGAATTCACATGTAAATAAAAAGAGGGTAAATCACACTTTTATGTTTCATGGCGTCATACATTTGTGGGTTCTATTAAACATGTTTATATTAGACATGTTTATAACTTAAAACTCATATTAATACAAGATTATATTATTTGAAAGGTCTTTATCAGATGGTAGATGTTTGTTAAAAAAAGTAAGAAATCATGATTTTTATGTTCTTTCAAATTTTGAGCAAAAATGAATAAATACATATTTAGTATAAACAACAGGAAACGCGTGTGGAATTCACTCGTATCTTCTACTTTAGTATTTTGGCAAGAGTCTTAACATGGGTGCCATGCACTTTAAAGGGATAGTTGATGTTTTCAGACCGTAAATATCTAATATTATTTTGTGGTAGTACACAAGTATTAGAAATCGTTATATTTCAGCCGTCTCTGAACCGATTTTGATCAAACAAAGATGATTTTGTCATGTAAATATTATGTTCTTTCAATCTGACACTCAGTTTTTCATTATCTCACAACAAAATGATTTTGTGTAGCGCCCTCAGCAACAGAACTCAAGTATCCCTTTAATACCCTAACCCCCCCCCACAAAAAAAAAAAAAACACGCACAACGTCTTGGCTGGTCTACAGTAGAAGAGAACCAATAGAATCTCTATGATTTAACCTATGACCACGATATGGTCACAACTATCTCTTTCAATACGCTATGGGACAGACACTATATATGGAACATACACACTCACACACACATACACCATTGTAGACCGCACGGACCAAAAGAAGAACAGCCTTTGGCTGAAGTTGGTGCCGTGCAAAAATAAAATAAACTGAAACTGAAACTGGGACCATGCACCCAAATCACAATGCACTTTTCTCTTTGATGATTGTGACAAAACTCGTTCGTTTCTGTATACATGTGAATTCATGCATACGGATGTATCTATTCTTTGCCAATGGCCCTGAATGAGAGCACCTACAGTTGTTTTTGTTGGCGATATTGGGTGAACTTTGCAATAGGGACTTTTAGATTAGCATGTCGACATAGTGGACTGCTAAGTGTGACGTAGTGCCTTAAAATGACGTCACACGTAGTAGTCCACTATGTCAACGTGCAAATCTAAAAGTCCCTAATGATGACCCGAGGCCTAGGAACACTGGTTCCTTCGATTCCTTGTCAATGTCATTGTCATTGACACTACAAAAAAAAGGGGATGGGTGGAGGAATCCCTTCAAAGGCGCATAAACATGACGTCATTCGATATATCGAGAGTTTTGAAGCATATTACCCTTTACATCACCATAACAAAAATCCACCGAGGGGTTGCCGCGTTATAGCTGAACGAGCCTTAAAGAGAAGGTTGAGTTCTGGGGAGAGGTGATAAATAATTTGTAAGCATTATCATTGTTATTATGCAAGTGTGGGAGAACATCAAACAATTTTATTTCCCTGAAAAGCAGTGCTCTTTATATGCCTTTATATTCTAAATATGACAAGTAATAGCTTAAAGATGAGGCCCAATTTTTATGCCACATGTTTGTGTGGTTCCAAATACATATTTTGTGTACAGTGCTTGTTACTTTACCAAGACTGGTCCAAATTTATTATCATTTTGATGACTCCAGAACCTGGCAGTACACACCAATACTTATATGCTACATGAACAACATTTTTTGATCGATTCCACACCGTTTATTTCTTCACAATGCAATCGCATGAACAGAACTCAACTTTATCTTTAAATGTTCAAATATGCGAACCAAAACGAACTTTGCTCGCTCTGGATGATCACACTTCGATTCTGCATGAATATCAAGGATTACAATTTTTCGAAGCAATTCACAATTTGTTAGCACATGAGATACACAACCCCCTGAACGGTATCAGGACATAATTTACGATTCCTTAATACTCCTGAGACTCACAGTGCACTCTGAAGTGTATCTGCTGAAAGGAAGATGGAATATCAAAAGAGGATTTCCTTTCTCTTACTGCTGAAGATATTTCTTGTAGGAGTGGCTACGTCCCAGAAGAATATCATTAAACTGGAAAATGGCAACTACTCGAATCTACTCATCGCAATCGACAAGAACGTGCCTGAG